AAAAAAATTAAGGAAGCTGGTTTGCCAACAAATATTGTAAACCGGATTGAAGCCAGAGTGTCGAGTCTGGTCTTTTCGGAGATCCAATCGCACTTGGAAACAATAGAAGCAGAATTCTATTACGAAGGAGAATAAAATGCAGGTATGGCAATTAATTGCTCATATTTTTCTTCTATTTATGAAGCTCTCTTCTTAATTTTCCATACAGCCCAATGGATATTTGCGCAGTGAACACACATAGTTTTAGGAGTTTAATGAAACGTGCCTTATAAAATTTTAAGTTATTTATTATACAATGTTTTATTTTACATGTATTTGCACATGGATGCAGCATGTTGTAATAGGTACATGTCACCCACGTTCTACAAAAGTGTATTAACTCCAAAATGGTTATATGGTTTACATTACACTGCAACTTTTTTTTTGAGTTATGCGAGGAATGAGAAACTTGGACTTAATACACTTTTGTTGAATACATGCGATATGTGCATATGTATGAACTCATGTTTTGTACTGAAATTTGTTACTTTGTTTAATGTTAATTATTTATTTTAAATGTATAGCTCATTCCCTAAGAAAACCATATACATCCAAATTTCAAACTTGATGCAAAAATTTTTGTAAAAGTTTGAAATTTAAAATTTTTGGACAAAGTTTGAAATTTCGATGTATGTATATTACCTGCATCACTTACCATATAAAATTGGTAACGGAATCATAATAATGAGATTTTTGATGCTGTTTTTGAACTTTTTTCAAAGACTGGTTTAAGAAAAACTTGAATAACTCAGCAAAAACTTTACCAACTTAGACTTATGAGGTATCATTGGTAAGATATTTTCTCACCCATTTTATTTCTTTGTAAATAAGCTCATTCAAATTATGTGAGAGGAGGGTAAGATAAAGGAGTGCCATTTTATGTTGAATTCAGATGTGTTGGTAATTTGATAAAGAAAAAATTGGAACGAGAATGAGTTTTTTTGCAAATAAATAAAAAGGTAGAGAAAATACCTTTCCACTGATACCTCATAAGTCCATGTCGGTAAAGTTTTTGCTGAGTTATTCAAGTTTTTCTTAAAAAAATCTTTGAAAAAAGTTAAAAAAAACAGCCTCAAAAATCGCATTATGATTCCGCTGAAATTTTTTTTAAAATTTTTATGTAGATTTTTTAAGCTTAATCTGTTTTGTCATCTAAGAGATTTTTTCCAAAAAATCCTTTAAGAAACTATTTTTTTCATAAAAAAACTCCATTTTTAGAGGTATTTTCAAACCGGTCCAGCTCACGTAAATCTAAATATTTTTCCTAAATATTTTGTTAAAATCTTAAAATATAATACATTTTGTAATCCCCCCGAAAAAACCGAAATTTTGTTTGGTGTTGCAGTCTAATGTATATGGTTTCCTTGGAAAATGAGCTATACTTTTATAATAAATACTAAACATTAAACGAACTAAAGAAAGATGGTCAGTTTTGGCTATATTTTTTTTTGTATTCGAGGTTTGATATTTTCTTATAAAAGTCCAGTGCATTATATAACAAGCACCATATAAATCCACACTTGCAACCTAGTACAAAAATTGTAAGAATTCAACAAATTTTACCAAAATCATCCAAAAATTTTAAACTTTTTATTCAGAATTTATACTACTTCTGCATTACTTATAGGCAAAACAAGAAAACTAAAAACTAGGTTGCAAAGGTCAGCAAAAGGGTTTTCTCCTAGGGCATTTCGAAATTGATAAACTTCGGCCCAAAATTTTACAGTTGAGTCTAAATTACTCCAGGTATGTAACGTTAACCGTTGCCATTGCATCTCTATGGATGCTATTTTGTCGGAATTATATTTGTGGTTTTGTTGCTGTAGTTGAACAAATACTT